GGGGGGGGGGGGGGGCGTACTAAGAGGGGTGTACTCATAGCCGTGCATACCGTAGTCGTTAGACCGTTGACCTCGCATCCCTACAAAACCGGAACGGAGCACGCCGGGTTCTCATCGGACCAGGCTAGCGCGCGAAGCGCCGTGAGGTATCCCGGGGAGGCGGACTTTTTTTTTTTTCGACACGTACCTTCATGTTGGGGTCTTTGATAAGCTTGATCTCGAGGTTGTAGCTCCTCCTCATTCCCGCGAGGCGCTTGAGCGACCTGCTCGCTTCCGACATGGCGTCCTCCCGCGCGTCTCCGCTGCCAGACTCCATGGTGGCGATGAAGCCATCGAGCTGGTCGAGAGTCTGCGGCAAACCAACAAACACCACCGCAGGCAATTGAGCGTGGTACATAGGTATAAGATATCGAGAGTCTGCGGCGAAGCAAGCAAGCAAACACCACCACCGCCGACTGACAGGGCGTGGTATGCATAAGCAAGCCACTGATTGAGCTGGTCAAGAGTCTGCAAATGAAACGAAACCCGGCAGAGGGCGGCGCTGTTTAGTGCCAGTTGCTTAGTGCCGGTGTTTTCGGCGGGCACAGACGTGATAGGTAACCAAGGTAGATAGTCATGACAGGCCGTGGAGCTGGTGTCCTTCGAGTCAAAAGAGGGAAGGCGACCGCTTTGCTGATCCCCACCTTGCCGTAGCTGGTGTCCCAGTACTTGACATCGCCGGACGCCATGGTGGCTGCTGCAACTCCAAACAGCAGCAGCCCCCCCCCCCCGCCGACAGATTCAAGGCAGGTAGATATCGAACGGTACTGCTCTGCAGGTATGGAAGGGAGCGGTGGTCAAACATTAAGTCGAGAAGCACGACAAGGGGAAGTCAACCCGTCGCAGAAAGAGCAGGGCGGGGAGTTCAGTTCGGTTAGTGGCATGATTCCGATGGTCCTCAAAGTACAGCAGCGCCATCTACTACCGTAAATGACACAAGATAACACACCCCCTGGACCGATTTTCAAATCTCGATTTCCTAACAACAGAAAGAGTCACGGCGCCGAAAACGGCGGCATTGGAACTGTCTTGTCGAGAGCTTTCCAAGAATGTATCGTTTCGTTTATGCATCCTCTTCGTCGTGGAGTAATCGAGCATTGAAAATTGGTCCAGGGGGTGTGTTATCTTGTGTCATATACGGCTATAACAACCCAAGAGGAAGAAGCTGCTGCTATTTATCAAGTTTCTGAGCAAAAGCGACGAGAAAGAGAACCGTATGTTCGAAGGCAGTGCAACTTGCTGAACTGAGGGCATAGGGCGACACCCACAGGTCTTTGGCCTGACCGTGCAGCATCGCCGTTCACAACCAAATTTTCCGGGGCTACAACACTACGCCGACAGCAAGGCAGCAGTGAGGTGGCACGAACTTGGCGTGCCCAACATCTAAGGCTTCCCCCCCCCCAGCGATCCTGCCGTGTGTGCGTACACTCATCGGAATACAAAACATTCTCACTCTACTTTTTCCGTCGTACAGAAGCGTCGAATGGGTTAGCCGCCGACCCCACTCGCCGCTGCAACACCACTAGGATAAAATAAAGAAGCCAATGCCGCGTTCTCTTACCTGTCTCTGTCCTTCTCCTCTCCGTAAAGGCTGTCCGTCGTGTGGGCCTGTTGGCGTTCGCCGTTCCATTGAGGGGGGTCGGCGACGGGCAAAAAGGTGCCGTGGGCATGGTATACGGTTTCGGCTATCTGCGTTGCTCCGACTCGCGGCTCCCGACCGCATCCTACGACAAGCAATATTCCGGGCAAAACAGGTTGATTTTCTGGAGGATGCCTCGGCTAGGAGATGACCAGAACATGGCCACGGCGTACCCGGACCGAGTGAGCACGAACCTGCGAGGTAGCTGGCTGAGGAAGCTCGCGATGACGGTGGTGGGCACTCTCTTACTGTACAACGTAGTTTTCAAAGACTACAAGGTGAGAGCAGAGCTTCCACTAGCTGTACCAACCCATCCCATCATGTTGCCGCGTCGCCAACACCAGCAGCGTGCACTAGAAGCTCACGTAAGGGAAAGCTTCGACTCTTGTGTCGTTTCTGGCTGAGACGAGACAAGAGATAAGACTCGATAGATGCAAAGCTCCGCTTTCCAAAAACGCGCCGCACTTCAACACCGAAATTCTCCGTCGTTGGTCGTTGGGCAAAACTGCTTCCCGCAGTTTCTGTGTACCGAGGATCCCTCAACCTTTTCACGACTCATGATGGTGCCACATCTACACGCCAGAGGCACCGGAGACTGCTGTTTGCAAACATGGGATGATATGCCTGAACGCACCCTTCGCGTACCGGAGAAGTGCGTCGAACCTGTTGTTGCTAAGAAGTACTTCAAGCAGAATAGTCTTTAATCTATTTAGCGGTGGAGGAAAGGAGACTGTCAGAGCGAGCGGGTGCTGCAAAGCAGCATTACCGGTCCAAGAGATGTTTGTCGGTCGGTCGTTTCGTTGGCTTTGTCTCTCTCTCACACACACGCACGTACACACTTGCATACATACACACCTTTTCTGCTGCTTTGTAGCTGATGCCACTGGCAGCAGCTCCTAGTCAACACTACCCAACCATGATGAACGATTGCACGATTGCACTTGCAAGCGCGAATGCAGCTGCCGTTGTTCGTGCGACGCACGCTGCCGCCTGTGGCTCGGTTGCACCATAGACAATATCCCTCCGGCCTAGTGCACGAGCTAAGCATGATGCATGATTGCAAGCACGGATGCTGCTGCCGTTGTTAGTGCGACGCACGCTGCAGCCTATGGTTTGGCTTCACCTAGACGGTATCCCTCTGAAGCTGCACCTGATAAATGAAGACTAAATATAGCTAAGTCAACAGAAGGTCCTGAATGAGCTTGAATCCCACTTAATGGAGGATAAACTGTCCATCCTGTACCTGCTCCTGATTCTACTAAAGATGAGGCTAAAAGAAGAATTAAAGAAGGAGGTAATAGCCAAAAACTAATATTATTCATACGAGGAAAAGCCATATCAGGAGCACCAATCATTAAAGGAACAAACCAATTACCAAAACCTCCAATAAGAACTGGCATAACCATAAAAAAAATCATTAAAAAAGCGTGAGCTGTTACAATAACATTGTATAACTGGAGGCTACTGCTGTGTAATATTGTCGCTCCGCCGCCCACACCCCGTTTTCCCGGCGTCGTCCGCCCCATGCGTAACGCTTGTTGATGAAAAGAATCAGACGAAGACGGGCATGTCCAATAGGGGTATCGCGGGCGACATCGAGACCATCATCCCTAAGACCAGGGCTGAGAAACTCAAGGAAGCACTAGAGACCAAGAGGACGATGGCGTAAGTGACCGCGTCGACGAAAACGACGAGCGCGGGGGGTATGTCCCTGGTGGCTTTTGCACTCTCCTCGTCTGCGTGTTTTTGTTTGTCCCGTCGTGTTTTTTGTGCTTTTGGTGTGTTCCGATGTACCACGACCTTACCTCTCTGGCAGGAAGAACAGTGCCACAAAGAAAATGACGGAGGAAACACAGAAAAGGCTGTGGGTGAGGGTGCAGCTGTAGCTCACAACCACTGCGTTGGACGGATGTGGCCGGCCACTCATTTTTTGTCTTTTCTTTCGACAACGTAGATTCCCTTCTTCGGGTGTAAACACGGAAGGCGAAACGGTTTGTAATGTTCAGCGACAGCAGTATCGAGATTGGTACTGGAAGCAGGCGTGCCTTTTGACTACTGTAAAATTTTTGGCGCAGGGCCAATCGCGCCATTCTCCAGGTATTTTTTAGATATGCGCAGGCAATCGGGACTGGCCTGCTTCACGAGCACGGTAGTAGCCAGCACCGCTGCACGCCTCAAGGGGACTTGCGATGAATGTTCTTTAAGCAGCCACGCCTATTCGACAGCCGTTTTACTCTCCGCTGAGGGTTACCTTGTTTAGGAAAGATGTACACCCTGTGCCCAACCGTCATGCAGCCACGCCTATCCACAGTAGTCAATCCCTCCGCTTGGGTTTTCGCCTTGTTTAGGAATGAAACAAACCATCAGGGACACATGCCCTTCGCCTTTGCAACTGTCTCGAATGGGAAGTCTTTTTCGTTGATTGAATGTATATTATCTATTATTTTTTTGTTTTTCTCCCATCATTGGACTCTGTCGTCTGCCCCTCTGGCCCCTATCCTCCACTTCTACTAGCTAGACGATCCAACCGGGGTCACATAGGAGGGGGGGGCTGGACCCCCTCCTGCGGTTCCTGCCTGAGGTATTTTTATCGCAAGAAGGGTACAGCAATCCCTTCCCTCGCGACTGACGAAGTCGATTATGGTTTACTAACAAAGAGCTTTGCAACGCGCGTCGCTCTCATCCTAGACCAGGATGTATTTAGTGAGAAAAAAACTCCCTCTGCCGGGACTCGAACCCATGACCTGGCCCTTAGCAGGATGCGAGGTTACCCACTAGACCACCGGGGCGACCGGTGAATATAATGTCTATTTAATGTAAATTGTCTTAAACTCTGTGCTTAATGTCGGACGTGGTTCCCACCACACCTTATCGCGGAACCAAGAAACATCCTATCATGCTTCTGCCGACCGGTCGCCGCCTCCGTTGAGGATCCCGCGTAACCACAATAATTGTATCTTCGAAATCTCGCAGGGAAAAGAACGAGGCCCTGCACTACCAGGTGGGCAACCTGACCAACGCCGTGATCGAGCTCCAGGAGCTTCTGGTCGAGACCAACGGGGTCACCATCCAACACCCGGTGACCCTACCCGAGCCGGAGGAGGGGGAAGGGGAAGACGGCGGCGGCGGCGGCGGCGGCGGCAAGAACAAGGCCGCCGAAGGCGTTCGCGCCTCGCAGGACGGAGACGAGGGGGAAGATGGAGATCACCCTTACGCGATGCTAAGGGGGGCGGAAACGGGGCACGAGGACAAATACGGGGGGGGTACCGGCGATGCTGCCGGCAAAGTAAAGAATAGCGACGGCGGCGGTGGAGCAGGCGGTCGGCGGTTGTCGTCGCCGTTGGCGGAGACAAAGCGTGACGCAAATGGACGGCGGCCGGCGGCGGGCGGGGGCGGATCCCGCTCACGGCAGCGGTTGAGGCGACAGCAGCAGCACCGCAGTCGCCGCGAGGAGTTGAGTAATCTTCCAGGAGAAGGGGGTCCCGCAAGATGAAAGGCGGCACCCGCGGGCGGGACGCGGACGCCGTGACGACGCCATCTTGAGGTAGGGGGGGCCCGCGAGATGAAGGGCGGCAGGGCGCAGACACCATGACATCGTCATGAGGTTTTCTCTTGTCCGCGAGTGCGTGGAATGGACTGCTTCTTATTTCATCATCGCACACACGTCTGTGTGTGAGAGGCATCCCCGTGGGTGGGAATTCGCGGAGGCGGCGCGTGTCTTGGTGATGTTTTGGCAAGTGGGGGTAGGGGAGTCGAATCGCGTTTTGACGTGGTATGAAATGCCAAGCCCCTCGCGAGGTTCCCAGAAGGGGGAGCATAAGTAGCTTACCTGTAAAGGCGGCGGGGAAAGCTCTCTGCTGCGTAGATGGAAGCTGCCGCTGATCACCTCTCGGTTCTCTCTCGCGTCTTTTGATTGTCTACCTCCGACGCTGCAGTGAGATATCCTGGGCTGGCTGTTCGCCACACACAGCGCTATGACGTTTTTGTGAAGAATGTGCTTACGTGTGTAGCTTAGAAGAGTCAGCACGGCTCTGGCGCTGTTTTCATCTTGCGCTGGTGGTGGTGTTGTCGTAGGCGGGCTGTGTCGGTCTCGTTAAGTAGCGCGTTTTTGTTTTTTTTTGGACAAGTCCCTCCAGTCGTCCCTCAGAGATTGTGCGGTTGGCGGCCGTTCATTTTTCAGTAGTGCCGCACCTGTTCAGCTCAGCTGCTCGGGATGCAAGACGGCGGCAGCGGCAAAACATGTTAGACTAGGTTCTCTGGTGAAGGAGGGAAAGTTAACGTTGTGTCTCCCTCTCTTCCCACTGTCCGACCTCTGTAAACTCGTAGTACATGGTCATGGGGCGGTGGTGTCGTTTTTCAACCCGGTAGTGGCCTTCCGCGTTACTCTACTCTTCACACAAGCGGGTCTCGAGACCCCCCTCCCTCGAACTTGATGCTCGTATTTGTGTGCCGTTATATACCCGTTCGGTTCGAAGCAACATGCTTAAATAGATATCATGTACCCTCGTCAACGAGGGCGGGCGGCTGGTAGACGCACCGTACGATCACTTATTGGTCGCGTTTTGTGTGGTTGTCGTGTTCTGGCTGGGATCTTACGCACGTACGTGGTATGTATTTGCCTCATCGGTCAACTTTTTTGTCTGGCGGTTCTGTTAAAATGTTTAGTTTCTTTTGTTGATTTCAAGGACCCCACAAGTTCCCCTGCAATGACAAATATGGTACGTACCGGAGGCGAACCACCAGTTCCTCCCCCTTTCTGTTTTTTTTTTTTGTTAGCATACAGTATAGTAGTCGCCAAGAAGAGCTCGAAGAATATGTGTCTTTATTGAGTCGCGATGTGCCACGCCTGCTTGGATTTGTGGCCTCTCGGAGCATTCGATGACGATTCAAACTCGGTCGTGCTTGGACTTGAGCCCGTGCCACGGGCACGAGAGCATACGGTTGCCGACGGCCTAAAAGAGCGCGAAAAATGTGCTTGATTGACATTTTGATGTGCCACACCAATCTATTTCGATTGCTGGCCTCTCCGAGCGTTCGATGATGATGCCAAGTCGGTCGTGCTTGGACTTGTGTGCCAGTTCCACCTTCACGGGGGCCCCCCCGCTCGCACACATCTTCGTGTGCGAGCACAAACACTAATCGGTTGCGCAGAAGAAGCCTATTGGTCCATCTCACAGCGGTGCATGGTTCCTTCCGTGGCCAACCGAGGAGTACGGCAGCTCGCTCATCCACGCTCTGTTTCGCAGTAGTGGAGAACATCTCCTTTGCTCCATAGGCTGCCCGCCAAACACGGTGGTACAACGGTATACCTGCGGCAACAGTACTGCTGTTTCTTCAGTCTCTGCATGATACTACGAAGGCCTCTTCCTGGTTTGTTCTAGGTTCCCAGCGGCTTCTACTTTTTTTCAACAACGCCAAGGGTACAAGACCCCCCCCCCTGCCCCATTTTCATGGATTCGTAGGCATGACGAAAACTTCGGAAAAAAAATTAACAGCTAGTGCAACGACGAAGAAACTCCTCTTTCCCCAGCGACTTTGCTCCATAGAGTCGTAGTTCTTCCACCCAGGAAACCAAGACACTTGCAGCTTCGACGCATCTACAGCAGTATTAGTCCAAACGCAAGAAATCAAACAAAAGGGGGGTACGCCGTGTACCTAAAAAAACACAACGAGAGGCGGACCAAGCAAGGATATGGGTACGACACGAGTCTCAAATTTCCGACGCTTGAAAAGGAGGGAAACAAGAGGTGAATACGACCAGGCTGCTACAGTGCTACAATGCTACAACTAGTCTACTGACAAGACGAGAACCGCGCGGTGTCTTTCACGGAAACGGATGCTGAACTTTGCCGGCACCGTTTGCGTGAGCTCGCGGTCCTGAGAGACGAACGCTTGCCTGATGTTGATGTCTGTGTAGACATGGCACAGAACTTACGAGCAACTTGGTCTTCGGAGCATGATGACGACGACGACCATGAGGGAAAAAAACGCACGAAACATTATCATCTACCAGCACACATCATCCGCCACACACCGGCCCGGTGTCCATCACCCCGCCAGCTGAATAATTGGCCGGAAAGGTCAGCAGCGAGCGAATACATACGATACCGCGATCTCTATCATGCAACCGATGCAACTGAATACCCTGCGGTGGTATACATCTAACTTACGCACGATGAAGACACAAAAGCCCCGCGCATGGGGCGCACGACGCCGTTCGTTGTTGGGGAGCGCGCTCAGGAACACGAAATCTGAAAGAAAACACGAAAATACAACAAGTAATCCATTACGGCCGAAACTGCCCCGTGCGCCCTGTCGCATACATCAACAGACGAGTCACACGACAGACGGGCGAGAGCTGAACACAAAGGCCTTCTCAACCAACAGGAATAACAGCGACAGAAGTAGTTCATTCGGGGTTTCGCGGTTGGAAGTGGGGGGGGGGGGGGGGNGGGGGGGGGGGGGGGGGGGGGGGGGGGGGGGGGGGGGGGGGGGGGGGGGGGGGGGGGGGGGGGGGGGGCGCTCCACCTTGGCTCCCCTTCCCGCCGCATGCTGGACTACTCGCCAAGCGAACATCGTGGAAGGGAGATAACGTACAGATCATCGAAGTGTCAAGGTCTAACCGCCGGTCCCACTTCCCACAGCTTTAAAGCAGAGGCGGATGGAACACCCAGCAGAGCACACAAACACATCGATTCGAAAACTACACGACGAAACGTGCACATATACTACAAAACAAACACGCGCGCAAGAACGGAAGGAACCCAAACCTGCCTACCTACTAGCACATGACAAGAGCACATGAAAATCATGACAAGAGCGCATGGCAATCAACACTGCTGTAGGTCCGATACAACACGGGGGGAAAAACGAGGCAAAGCTGTCTCCTCTTTCTCCAGCCCTCGATATTGAACCCCGCTCCCCCGTCCCCTCCCGTGCCTGCTTGGTGGGAAAACCGAGACAACGTGGTCCTTTTCCCGCCTCGCAACACCACAACAAAACCAATCTGGCCAAGACCGCAAACTACTTCCGCTGAGTTTGTCGCCCCGCCTCGCGTGCCCCAGATAAAAATAAACATACCTCTTGTAGAGCAAACAAAGAACAACTATTCCTGCTTGCATACCGCCTTATGGCCACGGCAGTAGCACCATCTGCGTGACAGCGCGTGTAAATCTTGAGGGCGGTAGCTAAACATGGGTGGTGACAACGTTACTTAGTAGACAGATCTCTCTCAAGTTACTTTCCCTCATTGTAGGGGGTTATGCGGGGTCAAAAGTGGAAATGTATTTTGCCTTCTAGCCTTCTAGCTGTCCGCCGGCATCCATCTCACCATCTCGCCGACCGAGACGGTGGACGCGACGTGAAATCACTGCAAGACAACAGTGAGGTAGGGGGGGGGGGGGGNACATGCCTTCACGTAACCACCACAGCGATGACAACAGCGACAGTGGAGACCCCGCTGCTGCTAGTGCTGTTTGCTTCGGCTTCTGCGTCAACCGCAACTTGGTCCACTTGTCCCCTTACTGCGTGCTACCCAGGTCAATCCCTCGTTCTGTCGGAGAGCTCTCGATCAGAGCAAAGCATTTCACACCGATAGCGACGGCGGCACAACACAAGCAAGTCTGGGGGACCGAGCGCTCTTAAAACAACACGCTATATACTACAACACTAGAAAAAAAGAAATGTACACACACATTTAACATGAGTAACAAAATGAATGGATGGACGTGATTCATGGTGTGGGACGCGGTGCCCCGGCTGACAACTTCCCTCTCCTAACCCCCCCCGCTCCTTCACTAGCCCTCCATGGGCTTAGGCGATGCCGCGGAGACCCTGCCCCTGGTCTCCAGCTCCTGGAGCCTTTCAGTCAAGCGCTTCACCTGGTCCTGATTCTGCTTCCTCTCGGCTCGAAGGAGTTCCGCCGCCTGGGGGGCAAGCAATCCCCACCAGAGCACCACGCCGATTAGATTAGCCAACACCCGATTGCAACAAACATGTACCGCGCAGCGGGCCGGGGTGGATGCGCGGTCGGGCCGAGCGATCATGCAGCGCGAACAACAGCAAGAGCGGCGCGCGGGGGGGGGGGGGTT